TAGACATTTTGAAAACATACAGTGGAAAAGTAAAGAACATATAACATTTCACATGCTCGCCTTCATTTAGGGTATCATCGCAATAGAATCACATCAATCACGATAATAAAACATGTTAACTTTAATTTGGATCTTATGAAGACTTAACTTTAGCAAAATGATTAAAAAGGAATTTCAATATCCAACTCTTAACAACTTCAAAACAACTCAACATAATAGTTATTAAGCTTCAACAAAACAAATAAGTCGAAATCAAATATAATAAAAGATAACATCATTCTCCCCCAGTGTTACAGAATCAAATCGTAACGACTAAAAAAATGCGATAACTAATAAAAATAACTCAAAAAGAAATTTCTCACTCACATCAGCAACTCTACTCTTGAGTATCTGCAAGATGTTCATGGCGGACAACATCAAAACAAAGGGGGTGAGAATTCACATCAATAATTTAATCATAAGATGCAAGGTAGAATTCAAACATCTACACGTTCAACAACAATCACACAACATCATTCTCACACCCAATTCATCAACATACACAAAGCAATCACATATTCATAATTTAATTTATGCAATGTGGCTCATAACTTCAAATAGACTCACATGCACATGGTACCATATATCATCAATTGGTTCACCCAAGAACCAATTTCACCCTACTCGAACCCCGAATCCACCCTGCACGAATTAGGAAAAGTCACCAATCCACCCTGCTCGGGTTGCAACTTGCTTATTTCATCAACAACAATGATGTCACGAATGCATGTCACGCCACGTCAATGCAACAACAACATAATGGTTAAAGTCCCCTCCTAACAATAAACAAAGCATGCATTGACCCAACGATAATAGTTCCCCTCCCAGACTATCATCTTACAATAATATACTCACAATTCAACGACACGTTTCATGCTCATACATGCACAATAGCATATCATCATCATAATTTACAATAATTAGCACAACATTATCATCACAATTCACAACAATTAACATTACATCATCATCACATGTACATATATCCATCATTAATCAATAATTCAAATATTCGTTTAAAACCATGTTTAATCGTTAAGTCATACCAAAACATCATTCAAACAATAACTAACAACGTCTAATAATACCCAAGACATCCACAAAAGTAAAAAAATTTAAAATCTGCAATATAATATCATCAAAACAAGCATTTACGCTCACTGCAAACTCATGACGGGTTACTCGTCACAGTCGCAACGTCCTTCACTGACCTCAACACTTCATAACGTCACCAATGTGACGACCAGTTTAAAAAACAAGCTTGGGCAGCGTGACGTCTGTCAGTGCCTTGCAACCTGCATAATTCTTCTTCTTCTTCAATGAAGTTCAATGCAAAACTTCTCATTCTCCATCCAAGCATACAAAATCGATTCAAAATATCGCATACATGTTATATATTCATCAATAACATCTTATTTCATAAAATCAACACCTTTAATTTATGGCTTTCGTAAAATCATATTATTCCCAAAATCTTCAAAATAACAACAATGGTGAATATATGTTAACTCATCGAAACAAAATGTCTCATACATCATAACACAAGAATTTCATCATCAATCATCATCACATACATCAACTGAATCATCAATAACAAAATTATGTAAAATTCCAATGTCTGTCGGAGGTTAAGGACTCCTTAATTATATTCCTCATACATATGCTCCTTATTGATATAATTCTCCCTAGAGTTGTCAAAATGGGATAGTTCATATGAACCGGCGCGCCCGAATCGAAAAATCATAGGGCTTGAGTCTTAAAATTAGAGCCCATATTTTTCAGAGTTTTTTTAGCCCAGTCCTACAAAACCCGCTATCCATTAAGGCTGACGCGTATGGGCCCTGGGTAGCCCATTAGGCCCGTGTGTGTGTGTGTGTGTGTGTATATATATATATATATATATATATATATATATATATATATATATATATATATATATATATATATATATATATATATATATATATATATATATATATATATATATATATATATATATATATATATATATATATATATATATATATATATATATATATATATATCGTGTTACTAAAAAGTAACATATTGGTTGATCTCACCATACTAAATTTCATCTCTATTCTATTTAATCTTTCTCTTTTAAATGTTATATAAATATGATCAACACTCTTTTCTCGTATTCTATAAGTTTCTCTTACGTTAAATATTCAAGTATTATTTTAGATATGTGTTGTATTTAAAAACACATTATAATATTTATAAAAGATAATATAATACTTAAAAATATATTATGTTTAAGATAATATAATTTTTAATTTCATTTATAATAAATATTATGGGATTTTTACTTTAATTTTTAATTAAAAAAAGTCCGTTTAGGACCGGGTAGCCCGAAATTCATCCAGGGTCTGACTCGGTTCAAACCCATATTACAATAGAATTTTTTTTCTCAACCTTAAAAAATTAGAAACCCGTCAGGATCGACCCGTTTAGGATCAAATAGTCCATTTTAACAGCTCTAGTTCTTTCCTTACCTGCTTATCCTAGCCGTAGTTCAAAATTTTAGTATTTGATTCTCTAACTCCTTTTGTTTATACATACTGATAAAACTCTCTAAACTAAGTTATGTCTCCAATTTATATCATTAGGTAAATCTTATTAATTCTTATTGTGTCGCTAAAGTTTTATTTCTCTTACTCCTTCCTCCCATCTACTCTTCATGAATCACAATTTGGCCCTAAATTTTCTATTTCTATTAAGTTAAATAAGTATAATAAAATATATTATTTTAATTATTAAAATAAATATTAATAATTTAATCAAATTCGACTAATCTCTAATTACTCTTCATATCTTAGTATTAGACATCTTTACTATCCTTATTTATTTAATTAATATTATCTAATAATAAAATAAATACATAAATTATAATAAATTAAATAATTTTAATAAATCAAATAATAATAATGCTAACTTGTGTCTTAAAAATACAAGTTAAGAATTAAATTAAAAAATATTATCTTAAAAATTATGAATAGAGTCGCCGTTATCCATCAAATAACTCATGCAATGTCTTGTCTTGTTTATCACGTCTATTATCAATGTGTAGTAATTAACACCTTTATTGATCCCATGCATGTCACCAAGTCATGCCTATTATCAATGGGTAGTACTTAACTCCTTTATTGATCCTCATCTGCTATGCATGTCACCAAATTTGCTAAAAATATACATGTGCACACAAGTACTCCAAAACCCTTCAAAGGAATATGGTTTCCAGTCACCAAAACCCTTCATTTACAACCTCGATGACCGTTGAGTCGACATCTATGTAAAATATTTTTACACGTAGTTCAATAAAATTCATTCTGGGAAAGAGTAATGCCATGAATCCAACAAATTAAAAATATACATTGGCAATTAATAGTAGGCCATTGCCATATCCCCACACCACACAAATGTGTTTTCTTGTTTAAATCTACCTTTACTTACCTTCACAATACTTTTTAACTATTATTATTATTATTATTATTATTATTATTATTATTATTATTATTATTATTATTATTATTATTATTATTTAACATTTAAGTTTTTTTAACGCAATGTTTTCTTTGACCACCGAACTCTTTAACAACTTTTAATATATAGAGATTCGGTTACATTTCAATATAATTTTATTTAAAAATAATTAAAAAATACAGTAAATCATTTATTTAAAGTATATTGAAAATTTTAAATAAATTACAATTCAGATAATTTTAATGTATTAATTAAATTCTCTTAATTTATATGGTTTTTAAATACTCTCAATCTTAAACTTTGCTAGACTATCTTTATACATTTTAATTTTTCGGAATAGGAATATAAAATAAAAAAGTAATCTAAAATAAGAAATTTAAAATTTTAAGTCAAATTTATAAATTAAAAAATTTAATAACCAATTTACAAATATAAAATAAAAAACAATATGAAAATTTTAAAAACTTAAGAATTAGTTTATAAATTTTAAAAATTTATAGGACAAAATTACATTTTTATGAAAACTAGTTTCCAAAACTTAAAAGATATAGATCAATTTACTAAATTGAAACTGATTTACTATTCAAACTATATAACATAATTTAAATAAAAAATTTAAATTATCTTAATTTGTATTACCATAAAACTTCCTTGTCTAAATATAGTATTAATTAAGTACTACTTATTTCATTAACTATTTTTATATTATTTACTTTTGTATTTATTAATGAAGTGTCTATATAATTACTATAAACTCAATTTTTAGATTCAAAATACAATTTAACAATATCAAACATTTGTGAGTTAAAAAAAAACTCTAGAGATTTATAAAAGTATTATTTAATACAAACATTACATTACGAAATTATTACTATATATTTAAATAAAAGTTATTTTATGAATTTATTACTACTTATATGTATATACACTTTTTTTTTCTTCCTTTAATGCGCTTACTCTTGACACGAGGCCGTCACTGTTGTTCCATTCTTATTGCGCGGGCGCTTCCGCCAGTTTAAATGCCCACCTCCACCTCCTTACCCGCCACGTTGCCACTCCGCAATTTAATTTAATTTTTTATTAATTAAAAAGAAAACCCTCCAATAAAAAACTCGAGAATTACCATTACTATTTAGAAAATTAAATTTAAACGTAACCCACTCTCACATTCTCTCACTACATTTTTTTTCCACCTTCTCCTCCAACTACTTTCTCTCTGCAACTCTACTTGTCTTCGAGAAGACGAAACCCGCTCCTCGTGAATTAAAAGCGTCAAAGTAAACTAATAAAGAAAAGAAAAAATAAAGAAGAAAATGTTCTTCGCTTTTCTTTCCATTTCCACAGCTATGGCCATGTGAGAGTTCTGACACATTCTATTCCTTTTCTCTTGTTCCCTTGTTACCTCACATTTTACCGGTTTTACTCTAACTAACTAACTAACTCGGCGAGTTGACTCAATGGCCTCCTCTTCACGAGCGAAGAGCAACTCGCCATTTTCTCACCGGAAACCCGTCACTCCTCACTCTTCCGCTTCTTCCTCTTATAATTCCTTCACCGCCGGAAAGTTAATGCCACGCTCCTGCTCTTCTTCTGCGTCTTCGTTTTTCAACTCCGGTGGCGCGGAACTCAGCGGCCGATCCATGACTCAGAGCCGTGGTCAAAATGAATTAACTCATTACGACGCTCAAGGTTTTTCTTCTGCAATGGAGGAGGTAATCGCGGAGCCTCATGATTCTTCCACGCCTGGTGATAGCATTTCTGTGACGATTCGGTTTAGACCGTTGAGGTAATGCTTAGATCTGTTTATCTTATAGTATCAAATCGTTCACTGTGAATTTGAGAGCAACTGAATCGTGAATTTTTGTTTGCTTTTGGCTTTTTTAATTTCTGATATTGAATTTGATTACGTAATTTGATTTTCGTTTTGGTTATGGTGTTTGTTTGGTTGCAGTGAAAGAGAGTATCAGAGAGGAGACGAGATCGCGTGGTATGCTGATGGCGATAAGATTGTGAGAAATGAGTATAATCCAGCTACTGCTTATGCATATGGTATTTTCACTTTGTTTTATTTTTTATTATGAAGTGATTTTGTGAGAGATTGAATGAGATAGATTAATTAGGTGTCAATAGCGTAATTGGAGGTAATCTTGCTTTTGCTTTTGGTGTTGAAATTGTGGTTATTAATGTTTGAGTTTCGATTTGGTTTGTGGCAGACAGAGTGTTTGGACCGCATACAAATACTGATGAAGTGTATGAAGTAGCAGGCAGACCTGTTGTGAAGGCAGCTATGGAAGGGGTTAATGGTAGGAAAATTTAAGAAATGGATTCAAAACTGTAGAAATTGGAATATGATGTTTTTAGCTGTCAAATTTAGTGAAAGTTACTTTACGTTTAAATATGTATCTAGTTCCATAAATGGATTGCAATGGTTAATAGTATCTACCTATTAATTAATGAATGGTTGATGTTAAAGTGGTTGGTTGGTGGTGTTAGTTGAGATTGGAAGATAACTTGTGAATTGTGATAAATTTTACAGGAACTGTGTTTGCCTACGGTGTGACAAGTAGTGGAAAGACACATACAATGCATGTAAGTGTCACTTAAAGTTAATTAATGGATTGGTTTTCATCTTATTTAGTTTTAATAATTTTTTTGGTCAAAAGTATTGAACCTCTTCATGGTATTGCTACGACATATGTTTTGCTTCAGTTTATCTTTTGATTTGGGAAATCAGGAAAATATTAATTGGGTTTTTTCAACTTGATCTAAGCATTTGTTATCTCAGTCAAATAAATGGAGCAATGTTTTTTGAGTATTTTAATGAAGGATAGGTTAGTCAAATGTCCCTTTCCTAGTGATTAATACTTCATTTGAGAGACAAACCAAAAAAAAACTTTACCTGAGAGTTTTCTTAAAACAAAGGAGCGCATAAAGTTAAAATAGCGGGATAGTTAATTTTGCAAGAAAAAGAAAAACTATGCCTAAATTTACTAAAAATGTTTATTATTAATTACATGGAAATAAGAAATTAAGAGAAGTAGAAAAAAAAAGGAAAATATTAAATAATATTCCCTCTAGTTTCTATTATAAGAATAAAAATTATTTTTTACATTATGATCAATGAATCTTAACTATAATATAGACCATGTTTTTTCATATAATAAGGACGAAAAGGAAAAGGAGTAGATATAGAATAGAAAAAAAAATTAATGTTGCATTGAAAATGTATTTATAATTTGAATAAATTTTTTTTGATTTATAATTTAGGATGGAGGAAGTATTATTCAATTCTCAATTTGAGGTTTTTTTTGTCAAACTTTGTAAGGACAGCTTATATGCGGCTTTAGAGCAATTTTCTTGGAGGCATTTAATTTTTATATTATTCTTGAAATGAATGTAGATTATAAGATTTTGTCAGCTATTGTTTGAAAATTCTGTTGTTAAGGCTAACTTATATGAAATCTCGGGGGAGATCTTTGAAACTTGGACTTGTTTACTATTGCCATAATATCATCACAAAAGATACTGGGTTTGCAGGTTTACAATTTGGTGAATTACCATTTGATTTGAGACTGCATCCTTAATAATTACATCAAACAAACAGCCATTCATTTTAGTTTTGATGACCAGACATATTATATAGGTTCTAGTAGATGTAGTTTAGTTCAGTTTTGCAACAGGGAGATCTTTGAATCATGGACCTGCTTACGGTTGACATAATATTATCACAAAAGATAGGCGGTTTGTGGATTTACAATTTGGTGAATTACCACTGCCCTCTGTATTAGTTATTTGTTATAAACACGGGTAACAGTTTCTTGGATTAAGATCATTCACACAAGAAACTAAAATTTTGCTAGGGACTTGAGAGACAGGTACAGTGCTTGTAGAAATAGAAATAGTAGAACTATACTTAAAAATATGTTTTTAAAAATTGAAGGATTTTTAGGATATAGGGAAGTAATGCACGTTAAGTGAAAGTTTAGGATACCTGATAGTTTGGAAAATAGTCTTCTATTTGAATAGTTGAACTGACACATTTTGATTTGAGATTGCATCCTTAATGATTACATCAAACAGGCAGCTATTTATTTCAGGTTTGATGATCAGACATAGTATTATCTAGATTCTAGTAGAGGTAGTTCAATTCAGGTTTGCAATTTCATATGTCAAATTTGGGGATGCAGTAGCATGATTTGACAATCAAACGCTTAGATAACTTGCGAACTTACCACTATTTTACAATGCCCTATTTATTTTGTTTCAAGTCACTTTCTTGACACAAACTACTTTATGCCACACCTTTTTTGAATTTATGTGATCTTGCTTCTCTTGTGGCTTTTTTGATTTGCTTTTCAATAATGATTTTTGCAGGGAGATCAAACCTCTCCTGGTATCATACCACTTGCTATAAAAGATGTTTTCAGCAGTATACAAGATGTGAGTTTTCATGCAAACATAATAACTGTTAGTTAAGTCATGTTGTATCAGTATATTTTATGATGCATATATAATAGTTTCTCTATAAAATGTATCACCGTGGCATGATTGTGGAATGGAAACATCCCATTTGTTCTTGATTAAATTTAATGTACTATAACTTGTTTGGAGTGACTAATTGTGTTTACTGCAGACTCCAGGAAGAGAGTTCTTACTTCGAGTGTCATATCTAGAAATATACAATGAGGTAAAAACAAAATATTTTGTGTTCCCACCATTTATGTTTTTAACATGTTCTACAGTTTTAGTAAGCTCTTTCAGCATACCTGAACTAAAATTTCATTGTTAATAGAGATGTTTACACAGTTTATGTTGGTATCAGGTGATAAATGACTTGCTTGACCCAACTGGCCAAAATTTGCGTGTTAGAGAAGATGCACAGGTTTCATAATTAATCTTGTGTTGACCGTAATTGAAAATTTATTTACTATTATGTGTTCATTCCTTCCACATATTTCCAATTTCAAATTATTTTTTATTCTGCTTCAATGTGTTTCAATTTCATGAACACTGACATTTCTCATTGTATTTGAAAATTGGAATGTAGCATGGTATGCATGATGTATCTATGAACTCTAAACTGAAAACCTGATTTTATGCTTTAACATAGTTGGTAACTGGCTAGTGTTGATGTCTGAAAGTTTAATTAGTTATTTTTATAAATTTAAATTTCTTCTGTGTTTGCAAATAAAATATTCATTTCTATGCTTATGTTCATGTATTAGATTTGACATTTAAGATTATTAATACCCAATGTTTCAAGAGAATCTAGACAATTATGTCTTGTTTGAACTCTTCAAAAACAATTCTTATTCTCTCAAGACCAGTTTGAGATATAACAAACTATTTATATTGGTTTATCTTTCAGGGTACTTATGTGGAGGGTATAAAGGAAGAAGTTGTTTTGTCTCCTGGACATGCACTTTCCTTTATTGCTGCTGGAGAAGGTTTATGTCGACAATGATAGTTATACTTCTTCTAATTGTTTTGAGTAATATAGGCTATATAGCACTTGTGGTAAATTGTTGATTCAGAAACTCCATAAATTAGCATGTTGTTTGATGGCAGAACATCGTCATGTCGGATCAAACAATTTTAACCTCTTCAGCAGCCGAAGTCACACAATTTTTACACTTGTAAGCATTCTTGGAATAATAGTATTGAAATTCGGTGTCAAAATATTCCTTTCTATGCATGATCTCATTGTAAAAGGAAACATTTTGTTACAGCCCTAGACCTTAGGTTTTTAAATGGCTAATTAGCAACCATGCATGTGCTTATGGAAATGATTGTACTTGCATTTTCTACATGTCGGTTAAATGTTTAATAATTATAAAGTTAATGTATGGAATTTATTCCCAGAACCTCATTACACCAACATTTCTCTTACGTCTAACATCTAATATCTAATGTGTTTGTAGATGATTGAAAGCAGTGCACATGGTGAAGAATATGATGGAGTGATATTCTCTCAGCTTGTATGTGAATGTTACTTAAATTTTCAGGCATTACGACCCCCTTCTGTTCCCATGCACAAGCTCATTTTTGGTCTGTTTCTTTTATCAGAACTTGATTGATCTGGCTGGATCTGAAAGCTCAAAAACTGAAACTACTGGATTAAGAAGAAAAGAAGGATCATATATAAACAAAAGTCTTCTGACACTTGGAACTGTAGGTGTCTTCCATTTCCTATGCTTTTGGCTATGAAGAGGTTTTGTTTTGACAGTTTGTTTGTATATGCTATCACATGCATTTTACATATTTGTTAAAAGATCAGAAAACATGCACATGCAGTCTTGATTGTGTTTCCATTTTAAGGTCATTGGAAAATTGAGTGAGGGGAAATCATCTCATGTTCCATATCGAGATTCAAAGCTTACCCGCCTCCTGCAATCTTCACTTAGTGGTCATGGTCATGTTTCTGTGAGTCTCTACTACTCTTGTAATATTATAATTGTTCACCTGTATTTGATGTTCCTTTTATGTTGTACAATTGCCTAACCATCACTTCAAGTAGGCCATAGTTTTTTCAATTTTTTTTCTTTCACTTTTCTTGCCTTTTATCTTTATGGACATATTGGAACGATATCTTCACAAGCACCATTGCACCACATTAATTCTGACTTAACATGCAAATTTCAGCTTATCTGCACTGTGACTCCAGCATCCAGTAATATGGAAGAAACTCACAATACCTTGAAGTTTGCAAGCAGGGCAAAGCGAGTAGAAATATATGCTTCCCGTAATAAGGTCCATTTTATAATTATTAGTTAGCTACATAACTGCATGTCTATTAAGTATTATTAACATGTATTTGATGACCTTCCTGATTCATTCTTGAAATATTTGTTAAAACAGATTATTGATGAAAAATCTCTTATTAAGAAATACCAGAAAGAAATTTCAGTTCTAAAACACGAACTTGATCAGCTGAAGAAGGGGATGCAACTTGGTGTCAACCATGAAGAGATTTTGACCTTAAAACAAAAGGTTTTTAGCTATTTTTTTGTATTTTCATTTTTCCCTTAGTTTTTTTGTGATGTGTTACGAGTTTTGCTTCTTAATTTATATTGATATATGTGTAGTTAGAAGAAGGGCAAGTGAAAATGCAATCAAGATTGGAAGAAGAGGAAGAAGCGAAGGTTGCTCTTGCTAGTAGGATCCAAAAGCTAACCAAGCTCATTCTGGTTTCATCAAAGAATGCAATTCCTGGATATCTAACTGATGCTCCTGGTCATCAGCTAAGTCACTCTGTCGGCGAGGATGATGTGAGTTCTCCTTCAATTGGTGTGAAGTGTGTACTACCATCCTTTTAAATATTCATTCTTTAAGTGCAAGTACTTTTTTTAAACAACTTGTTGTGATTTTCTGCACGACAGATTGAGTTTCATTCTTATTTTAAATTTCTTTAGCTTCAAGTTTTGTGCTGTTAATTGATAGGCTCTTAATTAGTTCTTCTAGGTTAGTAGGTGGCATTCACAAGTTCATTTCTTCTGTCACTGAAATAGTGCTTATAAAACTGTTTTTTATTTTATTTTTTATGTTATGTTATGTAATGCATATTTTGCCATGTATCAAGATATTTTGATGAAGTTATCAAGTATCTAATAAGTATTTCCATTTTCTTCACAAGTGAATTAAAATTCAAAACAAGGTAAAGAAGGCCTAACATTGTTACTGTTTCAATCCCAAAGGGCATTTTTGTTAGGGGGTTTGTGATTTTTATGCCTCCACTATGTGGGTGTTTGAGTTGGTTATTGACTCCTGAACTATATGTATTAAGATATCATCATTTTTTTGAAATATATGCTCCCCCCAAATCAACCTTGCTTTGTGTGATTATGCATTTATAGAAGGTGTTGAACAGTTAGTAACTGCCTTTTTAAATCTAGAAGTATGATGCCCTACAGGATGGATCTCTTTTGTTTGAAGGTGAGAGCCAAAATGATGTTTCCACAGTGGTGTCTGATCTGTCTCATGATGTTAGACATAGAAGAACATCAAGTAGACGGAACGAAGAGCTCTCCCCATCTAGCAGTATTATAACTGAATCAACACAAACTGGTGAGCTGATCAGCAGAACAAGGCTACCAGCAGTGAGTCGCATTCCCTCAACATCTATTTGTCAATCTTATTCTATAATAATTTGCATATTAACTGTCAACATTGGGATCGTGTGATATTTATATTTGATATTTCTGTCAATACAATTATGTGATCCTCGAGTTACAATTTATACTGAAGTTGGTGCTATGTCTAAATAGAAGTATTGCTGCATGCTGATAGTCATAATTGTATTTTATCATATTGTCAAGCATAAAGTGGATTACTCTATTCAAATTCTCTTTCTAACTGCTTATTGAATTGTAGGGAGGGGTGACAATGTCTGATCAGATGGATCTCCTTGTTGAGCAAGTCAAAATGCTTGCTGGAGACATTGCATTCAGTACCAGCACTCTAAAGCGGTTGACAGAACAGTCTGTAAATGATCCTGAAAGCTCTAGAACTCAGGTAATCTGCCTTGTTTTCAAATCATGCACTCAAACGTATTGAACCATTGGTAGATGTGGGAAGAGCTGTTGAAAGATTTAAGATACTTAATATTTCCATAAAGGCAATAAGAATGATGCATGGATACACAAAAATTTGCAATGCACTCAAATTTTACGTGTGCCCTTATCTATCTATGCATCATATTCATAATGCAGTCTTTTAATAGTAAAATCGTTTAGATGTTCCTGGGTATTTTTTTTTCCTGGATATGCAAGAATGAGATTTTTTTTTTTTATACTTCCAACTTCTATGTTTTAACCAAGGGAAGAGAAGGTTTTTAAGGCGAGGGCATTGTGCACGGGCGGATTTCAAGAAAACCAAGGATGCATTTGAAGTATGAGAGATGGGGGTGGGATTTTGAGTGAAGGGAAATGATTAACAATAATATTCACAAAATTCTGGTCTACGAAAACAGGAATGGTTATGAATTATATATACACATTTACTTTTCAAAATAAAATTCAGATGTATTATTTCATTTATTTTTCCTTTTGAACAATAGTCTTTTTTTTGTTGTGTGGCCTTTTTAGTTTAATATATTGTCTGAATGCAAGAGGTTAACATTGACTAAATGCAACTCCGAACTCTAATTGAAATAGCGTATATTTCTGATTTAATTCTTAGTCCTTTTTAAAGGAAATTTGCATGCTTTCTTAATACAGATTGAGAACTTGGAACAAGAAATCCAAGAAAAAAGGAAGCAAATGAGGGGTTTAGAACAAAGAATAATCGAGACTGCTGAAACTTCAGAAGCTAATCCATCCCTGGTTGAAATGCAGCAGGTGGCTATTTTTGTTTTGAAGTTCTTATATGTTTTATGTAGATTGAAAAGTGTTGTCACGAGGAGGTTTGGGGATCATCACATTGGGCTTTGAACAATCACTTTAAAATGAGTTAGACACCACATCCTAACCCAAAATCTTAAGGCATTAGGTTTATGGATCCTCTCACTTATATAGTGTTCAACATCCACTTACGAGACTCATACTCACAATTGATACACCAACAATAAGTCGCATCTTTATGTAAATTCTTCAATTAAACTTATAAGTTTGTTTTCATTTTTGGGTTTGTAATAACAGACAGTCACAAGATTGATGACTCAGTGTAATGAAAAAGCATTTGAGCTGGAGGTAAATACTATTTTATCTATATTAGGGTGTTTCTTTATCTTGAATCATGAATTTATTCCAAGATACAATTTTCTCAGCTCGTATTTCGTTATTGCATTTAACAATTCTGTTCTCAATATGGAATATGAATATGTAAATGTGCTAGAGAAATTAATTATTCACTTACATATTTTTAAATGTGTTTACAGATAAAATCCGCGGATAACCGTGTCCTTCAAGAACAATTAAATAGTAAGGTACATGTTTGATGTTTATCTATATGGCTATTTACTTTTTTATTCTCTAGGTTGAAGGTGCTGCAGTTACCATGTACTGTATGCTGACACCGTCCCTCAATTTTTTCCAGTGCTCAGAAAACAGAGAATTGCAAGAAAAAGTGAATTTGTTAGAGCAGCAACTAGCAATAAATACTACTGGTACCTCGATAGTGCTTGCTGATGAATGTGTGCCTGGAGAGCACATTGATGAGTTGAAAAGGAAAATACAGTCCCAGGTAACTGAGACTTTATTGTTTTTGAATTAGCACGACTCAGGATTATATGTTTTTGAATTTATCTTTCACCTGGTTTTAGTTAGTTTCTTTCCTCAGGTGAATGTTTCCTTTCCTAATATGTTTTCACACTGCCTTCATTCCATTTACTATATTTGATGGAGCCACTTTTTAGGATTACTGTATAAAACATTTTAAAGTATTCTGCATTAACTAAAGTTGACCATTAGCATTACTTATTATTGTTTTCCACTTTTGAGTTTTCAAATTGCTGGACTGACATTTTACTTCCTTCAGGAGATTGAAAATGAAAATTTGAAGCTAGAACAAGTACAATTGTCAGAAGAGAATAGTGGATTGCATGTACAGAATCAGAAACTCTCTGAAGAAGCTTCTTATGCCAAAGAACTGGCCTCAGCTGCTGCTGTAGAATTGAAAAATTTGGCTGGGGAGGTGACAAAACTTTCATTGCAGAATGCAAAGTTAGAAAAAGAATTGATGGCTGCTCGAGACCTGGCCAACAATCGAAGTGCTGTCGCACAGACAGTAAATGGTGCTCACCGCAAGTACCATGATTCAAGATCTGGAAGGAAGAGTAGACTTTCTAGCCGTGGAAATGAAAATTTGGGACCTGGTAGAGATGAGTTGGAGTCATGGAGTCTCGAAGTTGATGATCTGAAAATGGAACTTCAGGCTAAGAAACAACGAGAGGTAGTTCTTGAGGCAGCATTGGCCGAGAAGGAAATTTTGGAAGAGGAGTACAGGAACAGGGTTGAAGAGGCAAAGAAAAGAGAATCTTCGTTGGAGAATGATTTAGCAAATATGTGGGTCCTCGTTGCAAAGTTAAAGAAAGAAATGGGTGCTGTCACAGAATCTAACATCGACAAAAAATCTGGTGATGGGGAAGCACACACAAATGATCCAAAAGCTATTGACATTGAAAGCAATATTATCTCTAAGGAGCAGATTTTTGATGTATCAAAACAGGACAATGAAACTCCCAAGGAAGAACCTTTGGTTGTTCGTCTCAAGGTAATACCTATTCTACAGTTAATTGTATGTCTCTATATCATATTGAATCTTGAACTAGTTACTCTCATTGTTGGGTTAAATCTTGAGTATTAAATGGTACCACTTTTCTTGCTCAATCTTGTAATGAATCTTAAATGGCTGCAGAAGTATGATTTTTGATCTGTAATATATGATTTCAGGCACGAATGCAAGACATGAAGGAAAAAGAACTCAAGCATCTTGGTAATGGAGATGCCAATTCCCATGTTTGTAAAGTGTGCTTTGAATCTTCAACTGCAGCAATTCTTCTTCCATGTCGTCATTTTTGTTGTAAGTTGTTTCTTATTTGAATATTTCTCCATCTTAATTTTTTTTTGCAAGTTTTCTTTGGATTCACTTTTTTCTTTTGGATCTGAATTAAAAACTTATTGTTTGCTTTTGCAGTGTGTAAATCTTGTTCACTTGCATGCTCTGAATGTCCAATATGCCGAACAAGTATAGCAGATAGGCTTTTTGCTTTTACATCCTGAGCCTTTCAACTAAGGTCTTCCACAATACTTTCATAATTCTTTTATTTATTAAGCCATGCTCAAGTGCTACACAAATGCAAAACTATAAAGCGTTTTCATTTTTGGCTGTTGAATTTTTTGCAGTGCTCTACTTCATTGAGTTGTTATATCCACACAGTCAAGAGTGCAATTCTTTCATTAGTTTGCTTGTATGTAAACTTTTTAAAGGTAAATCCATAACATATTCTTTCTTTCACAGAAAACTGTATAGAATAAGGGGTGACGAAAGGGTGGGAAAAAAGAATGTAAAAAGGAAAAAGAAATGGTGTAAACAGCACTGCTGAAGTAAATATGCACAATGTGTGTTGTTTTAATATTATACATCAGATTTTTGGTGAATATCCTATCCTGATTTTTTTTTGTCAATAGAGATGTAATATAGATATCTCAGAAAAGCTCTTGTCAATATTATGCTTTGATGTTCAGTGGTGAAAATATAGCTTAAACACATTAATGATAAACTTGCTATATTTACATATTCTAATACACCCCTTTAGTCGAAACTCGAGGTAAACGAAGATGAGACTATCTTGAAAGTCATTGAAGAGTCGCAACGAAAGTCTGAATATTTCAGCAATTTGAAAGCGAAAGAGAATGTGTAGAAGACGTACTTGATCACGAACAACTTTCCCGCACAAAAAATGTATACCCATTTCAACATGCTTGATGCGTTGATGTTGAACTGGATTGTTGAATTGTTGAATAGACAAATCACGCTTATGTTGTCACAATAAACCAGTTGATGTTGAACTGGATTGTTGAATTGTTGAATAGACAAATCACGCTTATGTTGTCACAATAAACCCGTATAGCTTTTGTGACAGGACAATATAGTTCCAAGAGTAAGTTGCGAAGCCAACGTGATTAAGACACACTACATTAGTCACTCTTCTGTATTCTGTCTCGACACTTGAACGAGATAAGGCATGTGGATGTTTGATGGATCATGAGATCAAATTATCACCAAGATAAACACAATAATTAGAGGTAGGTCTTCTGGTGTCTGGACAACCAGACCAATTTGCGTCTGTGTAAGAGACAGGCTTATCGATGGATGAAGGATACAAATGAAGGTTGACGTCTATGGTACCATGAATATATCGAATAAAGTGTTTCAAACGAGGCATGTGTTGTGTTGATCATGCATAAATAAACACACTTGTTGAACAAACTATTAAATGTCAGGTCGAGTAAATGTCAAGTATTGTAATGCCTCAGCAAGGCTATAATATTTAGTTGGATCATGTTAAGGGTTATCTGAAGAACCAATGAGTTTCACCTTTGTGTCTAATGGTGTGGAAGATGGCTTGCAAAAGTACATATCAACTCGCTCTATAATTTCTTCTGCATCTTTTTAGAAAGAAAAAAGATCTTTAGAATGTATAGTGACAGAAATACCCAAAAAATAACTGAGAGGATCCAGATCATTCATGGAGAATTTAGAACTCAGTTGTGCCATAATAGATTCATGAAGAGTGTCACACTATGCAACAAGAACAATGTCATCCCCTATACAAAAGAATACAAGCGATGTTATTGCCATGATGATATATAAATAAAGAGCGATCAAAAACACTATGAGAGACATCCATTGTAGCTACATAATTAATAAAGTGTTAGTACCAGGCGTGTGTTGTTTGTTTGAGACTATAAAGAGATTTTTTTAATAAACAAACATGATAAGAAAATTGAGGATGACAAAATTCAGGAGGTTGATGCATGTACACAGTTTCATCAATGTTTCTCTGTAAAAAAATATATTTTAACATCTAATTGATGAAGACACCATGATTTAAATAGAGGAACATTGAGAACTGTGTGAATGATAGCCGATTTGATTACGAGGCTGAATGTGTTACCACAATCAATATCAATTTATTGATTTGCACCATTACCCATAAGGCGAACTTTGTACTGCTCAAAAGATCTATTCGAATTCTTCTTATGCTTGAAAATCTACAAACTTCGAATAACATTCACATTAGACAGACGAGGAACCAAGTCCATGTCTTATTTTCAATAAGGGCATCATATTCTTCTTAATCATCTAATGCATCAATGGGATTTGTAGGTAGAAAGGATATGGAAGTAGAGGATTTGGTGTGAAGATTAAAAAGTTTGCGTGGTTTAACAATATAGTGATGGACAATTTTAACAAGTGTACTAGTCTCATTGAAGTAATAAAATAATTCGTCTCCACAAGAATTGTGAATGAAAACAAGGAAATAACAATGTAATTAGAGTAAGTAATCGAGAGGTTTTCAATAGTTCTTTGGTACAAAAACAAGAATGAGTCATGAGCTAGTTTAAGTTTTTACAAGTCATCCCAAGAGACCCCCCGTGTATGCTGATCGCACTATGACTTGCTAAGATGATGATGCGACGTTTGATGATTTTTATAATCACCTGGTACTAGGGGAAGCACGAATTGTGCAAGCTTCTCAACCATAGAGTATCACATTCAACTATATCCAATGATATTTAAGAGTGTTACATTCTTACATGATACCAGATGTTCAAAGAGATCTGTCTAAGTCAGGTCATCAAGAGATATTAGAGGAGGAACGAGTTAAGGCAAATAATGCCGTTGATGTGTTATCTGCATGTCTGCGTATTATGATTATTGTGTGTGTGTGTGTGTGAGAGAGAGAGAGAGAGAGAAGAGTTTCCAAAAGGTACTCCTGTGAGGGCCACTATAAATGCCATTTTATCTAAGGCATAAAATGTCTTGCAGTACATGAGGCAAAAAAGAAATCGGAAGAGAGGGTTACATATATATCCTATAATTTACTTTTACTTGTATTTTGATAATATTTGTATTATGGTTTGTAATTTGTCAACAATGATAATTTGATTACGGATTTTAATTGAATTGATATATGTCATTTTAATCGAATTACATGAGTGCATGGTTTAATTGATAACAAATTTATTTTGATAGTATACTGAGTATAAATGACCTAAAATATAAGATTTTTTTAATAAAATGTTAAAATAAGGTTATTATAGAAACTAGCTTCAAACGGACACTTCCCCGACCCGTTTATCCGCTTTTTTTTAACGTGCATACGCGTCAAAATATAAATGCGTATTTTTTATTTAAATTTGATTTTAATTTAAATAAACTTTGTGATTCTGTGTGTGAGATTTGAATTTGAAAGATGTAAAAATTAATAATGTTATACAATTGGCATTGGATGTATTCGATCTTTAATAAATGTGAAGAAATAAAGACTCCAAATTTATTATGAGTGGAATCTTTTTTATTTTTTTATTTTTTTATTATATGAGTGAGTTATTTTGTAACTTCTACATATTTATTTTATGATGTAATAATTTTTGTAACTATTAAAATATATTTAGATAATACTCAAATAGATATATAGAGAGCATAAAATCAATTGACATATAAATGCACAATTATGAAAAGGAATATAAAATACAATTATAGAAAAAAAATGGAAGCAATAGTCTGCATATTTATATTATTGACAATAATAGATAGTAGATGCATACCAATTTTTGATAATTGGCAATCGTAAATAGCAGAAGCATAAAACTTATTATTGATTATTAGTCATGGTAAAAGCATAAAAGCTATTGTATCTGCATGCAAGTTATTATACTACTATTATTTTTCTCTCAATTTATTTTTTACATAAGTAAACCTACACTCTAATTCCTGCACTGAGAAACATTTATGTAACTTTTTTTTTTTTTATGTTGGGGTATATTTTCTTTGAAAAGTCTTTATAACAGTTTTTTTTTACTATGACAAAAATACTTTTATGAATCGAACAAACAAATCTAATAAGAGATTGTATAATTTTCTTCTTTGGTCCCTTCTCTTTCACCAACACTACAACCCCTTTCATCCTCTCCATCTCTTTCTTACAATTTTCTAATTCCAGCAGCCCATTACAACTGTTATAAAGTGATAAAGTGATAAAGTGATGAGAGATAAATAGAAATACATTTAACTATGATATATATTTATAACAAAAAATATATACTTACATCTAAGAAAGAAGATGTAAATGTATAAATTGCTAATACAATTTAACACTTGCGACTCAAATACATAATATAAGTCACTGTATTTTATTATTATTTATATTTCATATTGTTTTTCAAAAAAACTATAAAAATACATTAAAGTTTTTCTTCCATAAAAATCATTAAATCTGCATCTTTCTAACAAGGTGGGACTTTCAATTTTGATATCCACGTTACACTTCTATGTCCTCAAATTAAAGTAACCTGTAAAAAAACTGAAACATAAATGTTGTTATTTGTCGTTGATTTTTCATATGAAAAATAAATAAAAGTTGAGAAAGAGAGAAAGTAAAGAACAAATAAATAACAACTCATGTGTATGTGGGAATCAATGGTTAGAAGAAGAAAAAATTGATTCATATTCATATGAAGAGAATAAAGTAACTAATTTTCAAATCTTCAAGTTTTTTTTCCAGATTTTCCTATCGTCAAACAATCGAGAGAAAATTTAAGAAGTGAATGATCGAGGAAGATGAAAAGAGATGATTAGAGAGAATAAACATGACTCTTGTAGTATTGAATGCATACAAATCTTTTTCAAGTTGAATTTATTATATGTGCAACAGTTAATTTTGTATATTTAATGACAAATGAAAAATTGTAGTACATCATTTGAATTAAGATACCGAGACATATTGAGGAACAGTTGTCGCTACGCGAAAAATGACACAGAATCGCCACCGGATTTTATTTATCCCACGGGGAGAAAGGAAAATAGCGATAAAACCTTTGGGAGAAGAGCATGGTCATCGCAACCAAGTCTTAGGGTTCGGGAGTCGGTTATGCGAGGGGAAGGTGTTAGCACCCCCTCGCATCCATCGTACTCGATGGGAACCTCCTAGGTTATTTCGCGTGAATGGGTGTTTTATTCTTAAAAGTTCGTTTGCTTAAGGAAAAGAGGGGTC